TATGTATTATGCTGGTAGGTATTTGTAGGTGTAGGAAATTGATTGAAAATCACATCCAAATTGGTTTCCAAAAAGGTTCTAATTGAATAAGGAAAGTTGCCTTCACGCGCGAATTTTTTTGTCTATGTACAGCAATCTATATTTTGGTCATAACTTATTTATCTGTGACTTATTTGCGGTTTTTAAAAACATTTGAACTGTGATTGTAAATTTTTTTTCTTTTTGTTTTATTTAAAGAGAGGGGTATATTTGTCATTTCATAATTTTTAATTGAGAAAATAGGTGAAAATGCCTTTTGTGCAATGAAAGGTGAAAATAAGGGTGAAAATGTCAAAAAATAAAAGGTATGGACGTTTTTCGCAATAGCAATGAAAGGTAGGGACGTTATGTGCTAATTACCCCTTATCAAATAAACATTTGTTTGTCCTGAAATAAAACTATAACCTAAATAAAAACAAATACTCAAGCATGTCAAAATATTTGTTTAGATGGTCTAGCTTTTTACCTCAGTATTTGAAACTGTAGCACTAAATCTACAAATTGTTTTAAAGTCACAATACCAAACCAATATTCACTCTTCCAATATAAAACTGACGTGTGTGTATGAAGAATTAAGTAGACAATCATAAATTTACAAGTTGCTTCAATTCCCAACCCTTTGTAGTCAAATATATCCTTTCACATCTCGTATGATTCATACACCACCAAACTTATTTTTTTACTCTTTTTTCAGTATGCAATCTAAGGTTGAATTTTTCATTACTATCCTCACCATCTCTAGTTCAGGTGAACTCTACTAATTGTAAGTCAATGCATCAATTAATAAAAATTTTCCAATTCTTTGATTGCTTCGACATCTAGGACTAAACTAGGCTAATAATCCAATATCAGAAGTCAAGTATTCTCAAATAAATGTTTGAGATTTAATCAGGGCATTTGGTGCGTCTTCTATTTCATGTACCTACTTCTTTCAAAATTTCATTTTTTTAACACTCTTTCCCTTTTAACTTTTCTATATGACCCATGTAACGAGCTTTTGGCCATTGACTTTCGAATCAGATGATTTTTGGCACCGGTTGTAAACACCCTAATAGACTTAATAACTCGAGTCATAAATGCTACAAAGAGATGTCTTCTATATATTTTTCTACACCGATTAGTGCAATACCCCCATTAAACACCTATTCAAGCAAATCGACTTCCAACATAAGATTTTCGCCAAATTTTATCCCGTTAATCTAAGACAATCAACACAAAAATTTTTACACATGAAATCCCTGTCCACATCTGTATCTTCCTACAACAACAAAATCACTCCCAAACTGTGCTAAATTTGGTCTAAGGACAAGTAATTTAGTATGATTTGGGGGTAAAGCATCTATGTCCAACTTAATTCTAGTGCACGATAATATCAAGTTTTGCAAGGTTAAGTCTTAATCAGTCTAGCACACATATTATCCACAGTTCATAAATCAATACCAAATCTCAAATTTAATCATCATTGTCGGCTAGACTATCTAACCCACACAAGCACACAACTTAAAACAAGAAAATATATTTTTTTAAAAATCTTTCAACTTTTTTGGTCCTTTTTTAATATATACTAAAACAAAAACAAACATACAAACATTCAAAAACATACGAAAAGTAAAAATTCCGTTTCTTCCGCCCTCAAACTTAAAATCGGCATTGTCCTCAATGTCCTAAAATATAAGTAAGAATATAAGGGGACGGGGAAGAAAATGAAGAAGGTACTCCCCAAATTTTTTTGTTGAAGGTGTGACGGCTAGACAATTTTCTTCATCATACTTTTCCCTTGGTCAACATTGGTTTGAGTATTTCGCGACGTCATGTTCATGCACATAGTGGTCAAATGAAAAATCAAAGATAAAATAACCTAGAACGAGTGTTACTTAACCCAAACAATCGAAACAATCAATAATCAGTGGCCTAAGGGGAAACATGATAAGATGGTGATACCTTATAAATTGAAAAGTGCCTAAATCTAATGCAAACTAATAATCATAATAAATCTATATGAAATGCGGTACAAAAAAAAAATAGAATGGTTGGAAAATTGGGGTTGCCTTCCAATAAGCGCTTAATTTATAGTCTTTAGCAAGACTGTATGGTTAAATTGATCATGGTGACTTGTAACGACCTGACCTTGCACCGAAATCGTTATCATATCTTACGTACTGTCCGCTCTACGAAAGCCTATGCCCATCTTACCCCGAAAGTTTTTAGAATAGAATTTAATTTGTTTACATGCCATATTTTATTTTTTTAAAGTTGAAGGAGCAAAGTGATATATGTATTAACTTCGATTTTTGGGCTAAATATTTAAATCTTGTTAAAGAGATGAAACATATATCAATATGGGTCTCGTTGGATAGCTAATTTTTAATCATGAAAATAGGTTCGAGAAAAAGTTAATTCGGATAAGTAGGTCTCAAGATATTAAAGTTTAAAGAAATTTGTAATTTATTTATATTTTT